AATTCTCATCATAATTATTTTGTGACCCACTGTCAACATTCCTTGTAGTTCTGTCATCATGTGTTGTGGGTGGTGAGACAGTGTTGTGGTTCGTGCTAACACTGCAATGTGTACACACAGTGTTACTCTTATCAAGAGACACTTGTTGTTTTGCCTCTTTCAATTGTTGTTGCAGTGTTTGAATTGTACTCTGCATCCCTTCAACTTCCTCATCAAGCTGGATCACAAAATCATTGAGTTCTACAAAAAAAACACCAAAAATCACATTATATCAACCACATGACATTGCACAAACCTTGTTACTCAAAAGTAAACAAAACTAAAACCAGTCAGCCATATTGAATCATAACTTGACGGATGTTTAACTGTGTAAAAGTTTGATTTGAACTGCATCCGAAATGGCGGAAATGCTGGATTTTGAAAAGTTTTTAGCTTATAAAATAAATGTCAATCAGTTAACTAGAATTCAATATTGAAACAAATGCATGTACATATGTATGAAGTTTAAACATGAACAATCAGAACTTATCAAATATATTGGAACAGCATTCATTAATACAAAATGGCCAACTGTCAGCCATTTTGAATCCTATCTGCAAAACAAAATGATTTGCATCATCATGGCCACATTATGTCCAATGTATGCAGAAAATCCGTCCATCCATGACAGAGATGAAGAATGGCTTGATTTTTATGAATATATAACTAAAATGGCTGCCATACTATGACTTTGAATTGAACTGCAAAACAAATATATGTGGTATACGCATGCCAATATGTACCAGTAGGGATGTATGCATAAAATCTGAAATATGGCACCAGAATAGTGTTCATTTAAACATAAAAAATCCTGTTCTGCGTGCTGAGGGTACTGTACAAATCAGAAATATTACAGATTTAAGATTAGCTTCCTTGTGTATCTATGGTTTGCACTCTGTGGTTTTTTGTAGTTTCTTTTACAGCACCTATGTACCAAGTTTAATTTAAATCTGATAAGTGGGAATTGTGAAATCAAACTGCTTAATTTATGCAAATTAGGTAAATAAATTTGAATTTAATTTATTCTATCGGGACAGCATTGCGTTTTCCAAAATTTGCCTTTTTTATTATAAAATTAAGCCCCAAAAAGGTGTAAAATGTGAACAATGAAAGTCATTTGCATAATTCCCATGAGGCTTAGAATTGAGAAGTCAGTCTTTGTCAGTAACATCATTAGACTTATCTAAAAAAATATCACTTCAGTCACCTCTTTGATCACATAATTCTTTAGTCTGGATGTGGTTTTGTGCATGTTCTTTAGTACAGTTTTTTTAACCGTGTTTAAATACACAAGTACAAGTTTGTGACTTTCATATTCAATTGGCTGACAGCCAAAACATAGATTCACTCAACTTTTTGTTTTTTTGTTAACAAGTGAAAATAGAAACACAAACCTGTTGAGCATGATTAATGAAACCATACTAATTTGTAAAACAATTTTTTGGTACTACAAAATGGTTTCCTACATAATGAAAGCAGACAATTTATATTTATAATTTGGGAATATCAAAAGAGTTATAAAACTATTATTGCTTTGTTGGTTTGTGGCGCTTATGAACTGAAGCTAAGGCCTTCATAGCTTGTAAATCACAAGCAAGAGAGATTTTATCATAAACTAAAAACAATGAATTGGAATTTGTCGAACTAAAAATATTCCTGGCAAATCACAAAAAATATACAATATAATACAGTACATGACTCACCATCCTGACTGCTTTTTAACTCCTCACTGTACTTTTTTTGTAGAGCTAGTTCCGCCTCGAGTTGAGCAATCCTGCCTTGGGATAGCTGCCTTCCAAGTTCTTGGTTTTCTTGAATCAGCTGTCGGCATCTGGACATCAATTTCTTTCCTGTTTGACTGCAAGACAACATTAAATACCCCAAGTTGGGAAGAAAGTGTCATTTACTGTCAACATATTTTATCAACATATAAAGGGATATTTTCAACACATTGCTGCTCATTCCGCTATGCTATTATGGGTTGCAATTACAAAAAAAAGCATTAGGGCACCATCAAATAAAAATACAATTTGGATTTTCCGATCATAGACTCCCTTTTGTCATTTACGTGAACACATAGAGCATAAATGGTATTCTTATATTCTTATAAAATAGAAAACAAAATAATGTTACACTATAATGAACTATTCTTGTGTGCTTTAGTTACAACTAGCTAACTACCTTATTGCCAAACAATATCAACCATCAAAATACATAGATGTGATATATTACCTGTCAGGAGTAAACTTCCATGCACCCATCTCATTCTGGGCTTCTTCTAATTTATCACGGCTTTCTTCTAAATCTTTTTTCATTCTATGGAAGAGTATGTTAATAGCTGGGTCTAACAAAACTGAACGAAGCTGAGCTGATGTGGCATTTTGCTTCAACTCTGTGATTTGACTCTGTGAAAGAAAGAAAAATATAATAAATTCATTTACTACAAATTGAAAGATGATTGTGGCCGTATGAAATAACTGCCTGTTTTAAGTTCATGTGAATTTCACTGCAATATTTGTTTACTTAATATTTATTTAACCTAGACAGAAGATACATTTTTTTACAGATGGCAAACAATAAGAAGTTAACTTCAGCTTACAGCATACTCCTGCATTTCTTGTTCTTTGGTTGTAAGTCTCATGACAAGCACTCTCTCTCTACTAGTTGACTCGTGTTGTTGTTGTTTTAACTTTTCTTCAGATTCCCGCAAGCCGGCTAGTTCTTCACCTATTTTTAAAAATAACATTTGTAGATGAAATTGCACAGTAAGCAAGTATCCTACACTATTCCAACTACAGTCTCAGTAGCAATCTACATATATGATCAAAGACTAACTGAGCAGCTGGCCATGATAGAATATACATACTGGAACATGGATGGTCACTGGCTGTTTTACTCTCCAAGTCATTGATGTATGAATCTTGTTTGCAACATTTTGCAATCAATTCATCTTTGCTGAGTTGCTTCAAATCATCCTCTGATATTCTTACCTAGAAAAATGTTAGAAACAACAACAAATTAATTGCAAAAATAAATTGCTGGTTTTGCTATTAAAATAATGGATGATTACATGATGAATATCATTTAGTAACAGCAATAACATACTGCCATTGTATACACAGCTCGAACTTGGTACATACATGTTCATCCTTTTTCTCAAATACTGTAGAATACTTTATTTTCGCTTGGAATTTTTGCTATTTTCGCTGAAGGTACGATTCAGTGAAAATAAAATCCAGCAAATATATCTTTTTTCCTATATTTTAGTTACATTCAACTTGTCAAAAACCAGTGAAAATAAATTCCATACAAAACACCAAATACGTCTTTTCAGCGAATATTAATTGAAATAAAGTATTTCACAGAATGGGAAAGTACAAAGTAGATTCAAGCCAATGAATCTCATTGAAGTAAAATGTACAAAATTAACCAACACGATGTAAAGTTACAATCCATTGTTCTTTACCACCCATCAAGGTTTGCTTGGGAAATGCAAAATAATACATATCATGTATATTAATGAGGTCACATGACACTACCTAAAATTGCCATACACTATAGTCTATTGTCTATATTTGTGGACTATGTGTAACAAAAACAAAATTCCAATTTCAAACAGAAATTTTTAATCCTATGTATATCACAGTCCCTCCCACAAAATAAATATTCCAGTAAATTTAAAACATAAAACAATACATAGTAACGAACCATGTGTGATGTTCATACCAAGTTTGGATGAAATCTTGCTATATGCACTGCAGAGAAATTAAAATAATTGTACAATCATATGCCAACATATTCTTGGACACAGTTCATTCTAAAATATACCAAAATCAAACTTGGGCAAGATTTTCTTAATCTATACTGAAGAACATTGTTAAATACATTGAATTTTTACTAGGTTTTTTAATTTTGTTATTTTCGGTGATGAGAGAAAATTAGCCAACTTAAATCCATATGCACATACAGGTAAAACGCCAATTTTCATCTTCTTGCCAAGTTTGTAAATTTAAATCCAGGAAATAGGTTCAAAATAGTGAAAATAAATGCCAGTGAAAATACATGAATTTACAGCATTATGTTCACACTTTACTACTTCTATAAGAATTGTTAATAACAAGAACGGAATTTTAAATGTACCTGTTGATTTCATTGTTGGTGAGACAAAAAGGGTTAAATAATGAATAGTAAATTTCAGGATACAATTGTAGAAAATGCAGAATTAAACACCTGTCAAAAATCTATATTTCTTCTTTAAAAAATCATCACAACACTAACATTAGCACTCCACTTCTCATTTTAGTTCATGATATGGCCAAATAAAAAAAACATGGTGTTTCCCCTAACAGTCCAAACAAATACTTGGCAAAGATTTTAATATTTAAATTTTTTTCCCCCAATGAGTTGTCTTTTTATTTTTTTGGTGAAAACATATTCATTGTTTAACTACAGATGTGAAAAATAAAATCTAAAATAAGTTTCAGAATATATTTTCTTGATACAACCATAGACACTATGATATGAATATTAAAAGTAAATCACTAGATAGAAGGAAGTAAATGAAATACAATGTTGATGGAATGAACAAAGCTAATTTGCATAAAAATAATTTGTTTATAGCTAATTTGCATAAACAAAATATTTCGTAGATAGGGTTTGGAGAAACACAGAATTTATTGTATTTGGCCTAAGCTTATGTTGATGTTTGGGGTGATAAAAGAACAATTAAGGATATTAACCTCTCATTCTGACGATGTATCTCTAAATAAACACAAAAATTAGAAATGTATGGTGAACTAGCCAAGTTGACATGTTCATAAAAAAACAATATTAAATCATTTATTAGATTCAATGATTCATCAAATACATTACAATGTGAATAAAAAATAACAAAAGAGAAAATGGTTTTAAACAATTGATAACTGGTGACCAAATTATATCTTTGAGAGACTCTTTCAACATCTTCGCAGGAAATTTAATAAATTATTTGAAGAACATTGGAAAACGCTATATAATGACAATAAAAAGCAAATTAGTTCCTCCAATAAGTTGAAGAACAAATAGGATCTTTAAGAATATTTTTATAGCTGAAAGTTAACTTCTTGAGTCCACAAATGCTCAGCTTTGTAGGACTTAAACTAGATTTAAAGTAAATATCTTCCAAAACTAATTCCATGTTTGAAATAAAAATAAAATAAGCTGAAATAAATGTCAAAAGATTATACTTCAAAATCAATCAAAAGCTATGTTGCATTTACCATTGCCAATATTTGGAAATTCAGATAATTTTGGCTTTACTGCTCATCCAATTTTGATTTAATAATCGGCTCGATCTAAACAAGTCAAAGAATGCAGTTTCAGGTCAGCTCGTGCATGAAAAAAAGTGGCGGATATTGTTTTGTGTGCGACTTTAGAACATTCATTCATTTGCATTTCCTAACACACCAAAGAACTGATTTTTTTTGTATTTTATTATAATTATGAGTAATAATCAAAGTTTGTAACACCTCAAAAGCAATGTGTTTCCAAAATAAGATTGGAATTACAAACAATGAACTTAAGGCTTCAGCTTTCGAGATGAGAGCACACTTTTTCAAGGCAAAATTTATTAATTTTACCATCTCAAATTGCAATTAAACTGTGATAATGTGTACTTGTTGTTTCATTTGTGACATTTTCACATCTTGCCTACTAGCAAGATGAACAAGGTAAAGTCATTTTAATTATTTCGCTCTGACTCAAACTTTGGTGATTTACTTTCTGGACCAGCCCAGTAGACTTCCAATACATTTTTTTCATTTAGAATACTGATATTGCAAGGTTAATGTGACCTAATCCCTACCATTAGCCTTTATTTTGATGTAGCAAATTAATACAGACTGGTGTAGGAAGCTTAATCATTCTATGGTTTATTGGTTGTTAATTCCTCTGTATCTTATCAGTGTTGTTTTAAAAGCTGAAAATGTTTATCTTTTTTTTGAACAATAAAAAAATGTCACTCTTCTTCCCTGTGGTACAGAATAAGTGACAATTTGGATAATAAATGTACTAACCCTCTTTGGTGCTGGTTCGCCTTCAGACATTCTATTTCCTGAAGGAATAATATAAGAAGAGCTTGTAAGTATTAATATTGAACGATAAATTCACCTAATTCCAAAAA